TGTTGATAGGCCAAATGAACAATATTAGCCAACAACTCAAAGAGAACCAAGCCGACCTAGCTGAGCTCCGTAGGAACACCACTGAGCGATTTGACATACTTGAGCGAGCTAGAGAGCACCCTACTCCCTACACTCCATCTAGACAACCTTCTATGTATGGGGATGATATTTACCCAGATGAGGGCAACATCGTGCCAATCATCAAGCTCCCTACCGCGGACATGACCCACGTCATGATCTATACTTGGATGAGAGGCAGCATTGTGCCAATCATCGAGCACCCTACCACAGACATGACCCACGTCATGATCCTGATATATCACTTATGAAAAATATTAAAGTCGACGCTCCTACCTTTGATGGCACACTTGACCCCTAGCTTTTCCTAGACTGGGTCAAATGTATGGACAGTTTCTTTAAGTGGTATGACATCTCCGAGGCTAGGAAGGTCAGCTTTGTAGAGATGAAGCTCACGGGTAGGGCGAGTCAGTTTTGGGCCAACTTAGAGAGCCTTAGGGAAGCTAGGAACGATTACCCCATTACTGATTGGTCGTCCATGAAGCGGGAACTCAAGCAGAAGTACTTGCCTCCCTCGTACTTCCCCCGACTATTGGACAGATGGAATAGGCTGACTCAGGGAAACAAACCAGTTAAGGAGTACATCGCCTCTTTCGATGACTTCCTGATTTGCTGCAAGGGGGAGACCTCTACCATCCCCGCGCAGATCTTATCGATGTTTCGAACCGGGTTGCGAGAGAATCTTCGCAATGAGCTGTTTGCCCGGAATGTCACTACACTGGAGAATGCCTACAGCCTAGTGCTTGATTTAGAAGAGACCTGTTCATAGCACCCGAGCCGTTCACATGACTCTAGGCCTTCCTACAGACCTTCTGGTAGTTCCAACCCTCACACCCCCACTGCCCAGCCGACCCCAGGGAGCACTATCCGACCCTCGTCTGGTCCCCCCACTCCCTATCCTGATGTTAGAAGTAAGTCTCCCACTCCGGATACCCCTCGATCTAACCCCGGGACCAAATGCTTTAGATGTCATGGGTATGGGCATATCGCTTCTCAATGCTCTAGTCCCTATAAAGTCACGATTATCGAAGAGATCACTGAAGCGGAATTCGAGCCCAAAGTCAATCAGATTCACCAAGTAAACAACGATGGTGACCTCTTTGAGGAGGATGACGACACTGCTGTCATCCAGTACATCCAGAAAATTGACACTTCTCCCACCTGCGTGGTAAGATGTGCACTGTCACAACCTGTTACCACCGACGACTGGCGTAGGACTACAATCTTTCACACCTACACCAAGATCAAGTATAAGAATTGTAAGGTCGTCTTGGATAGTGGCCAGCTGCATAAATGTTGTTTCCTCCAGCATGATGTCCTACTTAGGTCTTTCTGCTGTTCCTCACCCCAACCCGTATAAGATAGCTTGGCTCAACTCCATTGCCTTGGAAGTAAAGGAACGTAGCTTCATACTTATCTCCTTCGCTGACTATAAGGAGAATGTTTAGTGTGATGTGTTGATTATGAATGTTGGACAAATCCTTCTAGGTCGTCCCTGGCTATTTGACAACGATGTCCACATCTATGGTCGTTCAAACATCTGCGTGTTTGAACATGAGGGCAAAAAGATCAAGCTTTTACCATCACAGCCTCGGGTTACGGATAATCCTGAATCCAACCCTGTCAAAGCCAAGAAGGGACTGAACCTGATAGTCGCCATAGCCCATAGCGTGCCTTTACATACGTTAGTTGATCGTGACTTCCGCTGAGTCTGACGAATCAGTCCCTCAGGAGAGTCAGCCCATACCTAGTATACTTGTTGAGATCCATCCTGATGATCTTCTGGATCCATTACTCTTGATTAGAGGCATTTTATATGTTCTAAATCTAGCCCCTAGAGCCTCCCTATCCGATCGTATCCCAGTTGGACTCGACTACTATGATTCAATGATTCGTACCCTTGGTTTAAGTCATTCTAAAATTGTTTACGGGTTCAAACCTAGACTACCACTAGACCTTATGCCAATGTGTTCTAGGTATAGGATTTTTGAGTTTGCATCATCATTTTAATCTCATATGCATGGGTTTCATAAAGGAATTGCACGACAAATTGACAAGGGCAACAACAATTACAAAATATATGCCAATCTGAAACAAAAATTTAAAACTTTTGAGGTTGGTGACTCCAAGATGGTGCGGATTCATCCGGAACAGTTCCTGCAGGGAACAGTTAAGGAGCTGCATGCTAAGAGTGCTGGACTATTTAAAATAACTAAGAAATTTCATGATAATGCTTATGTAATAGTTCTGCCCACAGAATTCAACTCCAATCCCTCCTTTAACATAGAAGATCTAGTTGCATATGAAGGTCCTGACTTCAACACACCAGATCCACTCATACAGCAGCCTTGTGTGACCCCCCCCACCCCCTATGTGAGAACCTAAACCTACCCCCACCCCCAGATATTCCCAAATCACCCATGGCATAAAAGGTAGACTCAATTCTAAGTGATGACATCATCTCCACGAAAGAAGGTGGACGATGGAGGTATTTGATCAGGTGTAGAGGAAAGCCCAAGTTAGATGATACATGGTTGGATCGCAAGGAGCTGCAGCAGTTTGACCCCGGTGCATTGGAGATTTATGAGAGCATCAGAGACGTTTACTCGACGGAGTCAAGCTTTCTCCCACACCGGGAGAATGATGGGGACATCAGAGTATGGAAAGTACAGTAGAGGCGTGGCCGTCGATCTACGGACACGATCGATCCGATATAGCTTTGAGTCATTTCATGTATTCGTCTTTTATTATGTTATTTGTCTTTTATTATTTATATTGTAATTGTTTTTTCGTTTTTACCTCTTACTTAAAGTGAGGTCGTATGTAAGCCCTGAGGGCATTGTTGTCTTTTATTTTGAGTCTTATGTATGAGGCTATTTATAGCCCCTATGTTCTATGAAAATTAATGAATGATTGATTAAAAAAAAATTTCCTTGCATGAGTTCTTGTGAGAGCTTGAGAGTTTGATTGGTGAATCCCTAGGAGAGGGAACTCGGATCACCCACCAACCTTAGAGACGGCCGGGTTCGTAATTCTTATTTTCTATCTCTTTCTTTCCCTCCTCCCACCACCACCTTCCGGCCATACTACCTCTCTCCCTAACCTAGCCGCCAGCCATCCTTGTTTTTCCCACTCGATGGCTAGATCCAGCCACCCCACCACCCACGGCCCCTCCACTTGCAGCCGGCCCTTCTTTGGCCTCCCTCCCTACTCCCCTTTGCTATTAAACCTTTCCTAATTTAGTTTTCATAATTTAGGTAATGCAATTCAAGGCAAATTCAAATTTATTTGAATTTGAAATTATTGCCTAAATTAGAAATCCTAATTTTGGAAACTTTCCGAATCATAGCTTTTGAATTTTAAATTAATTTGGGATGGGATCTTTCTTCCCAATTTTAATTTATTAATTTAAGCAAGCATTAATTATCACATTAAAGTCCCTCCCTCACGTTGGAAATATTTCCAAAATCTGGCCTCTATTTCTGCCCACAATTTCAGCCTCCCTCACGTTAGAAATATTTCCAAAATCTGTCATATTTCTGCCCACAATTTCAGCCTCCCTCATGTTGGAAATATTTTCAAAGTATGCCATATTTCTGCCAACAATTTCAGCCTCCCTCATGTTGGAAATATTTGCAAAGTATGTCATATTTCTGCCAACAATTTCAGCCTCCCTCACGTTGGAAATATTTTCAAAGTATGTCATATTTCTGCCCACAATTTTGGCCTCCCTCACGTTGGAAATATTTCCAAAATATGGCCCATATCTAACCGCCGCCTCCTAGCAGCTTTGCTAGGTTTTACTTCTCCAAATCCCCTCTAAATCTCTTCCGGGTGATGTTTCCCTGCTCTCCAAGTTTGCTGCCAGAATTTCCTGCATCTACCCCTTGGTTTACCTCCAACCTGAAGGTTCTCAAAGGCTGCCTTAAGAGGACAACTAGCTGTCCATTAGCATCCACCAGCACCTTTCGACCGTAGCACCATCGGAGATAAGCTCCTCCCTCTCAATAGGAGCCTTCAAAGGAAGTACTAACTAGCGTGCTCAACACTTCAATACTAGAGAAACTACTTTCTCTCTAAGTTGAGCCTTCAAGAAAACTACGACGTATTTCTTCAACATCTCAACTACTTGTTTTCGGACTTTGACTAAGATGAACTTCTCCACCTTTTCAATTACCTTTCTAATCCCCTAATCTTGTAGGTGATGACGAATCACATGGAGCCGAGTTTCGCCTTATGCCTAAGCTTAGTAAATGTAGGACTTTGTTTAGCCATTGCCAAAGCTTAGTAAACGTAGGATTGAGTATGCTTCTAATCTAATTGTTAGATTAGGGATTTTGTTGAAAGCTATTTACTTTGCATGTTAATGAATTTCTAACTTGTTTTGATTCTCCAAGTTCTTGGCATGTGACTTAGCCTAAACGGAAGTGACCGCTCTTATATTTTATTTGATCGTTTTAATTTGTTAATAGTTATAATCTTACTTGCTCTTATGAAGGAATCGTGCAATTCTTAACGCCACCTTTTTAAAAAACTTTTTAGTCCTGCATCAGTGGGGGTGTGAATTGGCATGCACACCCGCACACTAGATAGAGAGGTGTCATATTGCTACAAGATACATACTGAAGTGGATTTTAGCATCTTCTATTTAACTCGTTGAGCCATTTTACTTATCTTTATTGTTCAGCTTGTGGGATAAAAATTGAAAGGAATGATAAAGACCATGTACATAGATATTCCATATTCTCTTTTCAAGTAGTGTCGAGCATGCATTATTTTAGATGTTTAGCTGCTTTATTTCTCAGTCTCTGGCAAATTTTTCTTTTTTGTGATATTGATGTTCGCAATTGCCAATTTGTTTGATATAAAAGCTGTTGAATTTGAACTTTCTACATTTGAGCAATAACGTTGGTCTTGATTAGGTGACATGGATAACACAGTGTCCTCTGCTCTTACTTGATACTCGAATGCCTTATGGCAGCTTATATGCTGGATGCGAGGAACATTTGGACCCGGCAGGTACAGGCTCCTTCTATAATGAAGGCGAAGCTGACATAGTTGTGCAGCATGTCTTCAATCTAATATATTCTGGTATGCATTATTCATTTTTGGTCTTTCTGAAATATTACTACAGTTTTTTTCAGAAAATTTGTAGATGACCTCTGAAGTTCCCTTTCACCCTCTTTCTTATTCATAGCTTTCCTTTTTTATTTTTTTTTTAATAGATTGAACGTCAAAGAAATATAATTCATGAGGCCACGTTGGACTAGGTCTTCTATCTAAATTATTATATTAGATTCACCTATATCTCTGTAATACAACAACAACAATATCAAGCCTTTATCCCATTATGTGGGGTCGGCTACATGAATCTTTTTTCTCTATTGTGTCCTATTAAAAGTAGGCCTCACTACCATCTTATAGAATTTTTCCTTAAGTTTAAGGGGTATATTTCTATCACATAATAAGCCCGATGCATTCTTCCACTTCAACCATCCAACTTGAATTCTGCTGATAATATCCCCATCTATTTCACCATCACTCTGAACAATAGATCCAAGATATCTAAAACGTGTATTTTTATTAATGACTTGATCGCCCAAAGTCACAATCCCCTTACTAGGTCTATTACTACTAAAATTACACTCCATATATTCCGTTTTAGATCTACTCAAGCGAAAACCTTTAGACTCTAAGGTTGACCTCCATAATTCAAGTTTACCTTCAACTCCCTCTCTAGTCTTATCAACAAGAAGAATATCATCAGCAAAAAGCATACACCAAGGTACATCCTCTTGCAAATGTCTAGTGAGAACATCCATGACTAAAGCAAAAAGATATGGGCTTAAGGCTGATCCTTGATGTAACCCAACCGAAATAGGGAAATACTTGGTCAATCCACCTTGTGTTTGAACACAAGTAATAGCTCCTGCATACATATCTTTAATGATTTGAATATAAGCATTATTGACTCCTTTCTTTTCAAGAACTCTCCATAGCACTTCTCTTGGAACTTTATCATATGCTTTTTCTAAATCAATAAATATCATATGTAGATCCTGCTTATTTTCTCTATATTTCTCCATCAAACCTCTTAATAAATGTATGACTTCCATAGTCGACCTACCCGGCATGAATCCAAATTGATTATGAGAAACATTAGTATCACGCCGCAACCTATGCTCCATAACTCGCTCCCAAAGTTTTAAAGTATGACACATTAATTTAATACCTCTATAATTCGCACAATCTTGTGCATCACCTTTATTCTTAAAAATAGGAATTTATATCTCTGTAATATTGTAACTTATTTTCTCGTTGATGTTTTAAAAACCCGAATTAATACACAAGTGAATTCAATATATGATAACTTTGTGTTGAAAATCTCAGCCGTCCCTTGACACTTGATTCTACAATCAAGATGTGAATTCGTGAGAGGCTCACCTGGATCATGTTAATCTCTGTAAAATCCCAGTCGTCCCTTGACACTTGATCCCAAGGCCAGGATAGGAATCGGTGGGAGGCTCACCTGGATCACGCCAATCTCCTTTCATATTTGGGTGGCTGATTTAGGAAGGATTATATTAGCGCAATTATTTGTTTCTTTATTATGATATCATGTATAAATCTATAAATAGGATAGTTTTGTATAATGAAATTAGGCTTTTTCCCTCTCCATTTCTCTGAATTTATCACTTTGTGTATGCTGATCGGTTCAAAAAAAAAAATTCTTTCTAAATGCTGTATTAATACAACACTTAATCGTTTAATTATACTGTTATTAGCTTTTTGGAATGTAGGGGTCTCTCCAAATGCCATTGCTGTTCAATCTCCATATATTGCTCAAGTAAAACTTCTGAGGGATAGACTAGATACATTTCCAGGAGCGACTGGTGTTGAAGTTGCAACAATTGATAGCTTTCAAGGACGGGAGGCTGATGCTGTTATTATATCCATGGTGCACTATACATTCTTTTACTTGAAATAAAAGTTTTCAATATGCTACTTTTTGACGGTAACCTTTCTGGTTTCACTTCTTTTGTATTTGCTGGCAAAGGTATTATAAAAGTGATAGGGTACAGGTCTTTCAATAGCTTTATTTCGAAGAACGCAATTTTAATTTACCTGCTACCGTTACTTGTGTTCCTAAGGCATGTCTACTTATAGCTGATTTGAGGTTTATACCACGTGAACTATAGTCTTCAATGCATTAGTCTTATTATCAATTGGATGTTTTAGCATCATGCATGAATGGAAAATGGGGATTAACATAAAAAAATTAAGATAATCTAATGATGCGTATTAACTACATTTAAAGTGCAGAAAAAAAAGAAGTTTACACAGTATGTTTTTAAATGACTCTGTTGTTGATGAGAAATTATTCTGTGCGGACATCAGACGGAAAGAACAGTCCGGTTTTCTCTATGTCTATAGTCAAAGCATAGTTACAGTAGCAATTGCGCTTTTACTGTAGATAGAGAGAAAACCGAACGGTTCTCTCCGTCCGGTGTCCGCACAGAATAAAAAGTTGTTGACACCTGCAAAAGCCAGTATGAAACACCATGGTGTAATTTTTTTGTGCGTATCTTTGTTCAACTGCTCTTTCCTTTATTGTATGTTTTTTTTCTTCCTGAAAGAAGAAAATTTTCCGGCAGCATTTTGTGCCCATTAATGCAGTTACTGTTTTCATAACATAGTAAGCTTTCATAGTTTTGTATGTTGATAGGTGAGGTCAAATACGCTGGGCGCTGTTGGATTCCTTGGTGATAGTCGGAGAATGAATGTAGCGATAACAAGAGCACGCAAGCACGTTGCAGTTGTGTGTGATAGTTCAACCATATGCCACAACTCTTTCTTAGCGAGGCTTCTGCGTCATATTCGACGTTTTGGCCGGGTAAAGCATGCCGAGCCTGGATCTTTTGGAGGATTTGGAGTCAGCTGCAATCCAATGCTGCCTTCCATTGGTTAAAACGATGGTTTATGCATTCCTATTGTTGATCGTGTAAATAATCCTCCTATTTTACATTTTTTTTATTAATTGTTAAAATGATTATTTAACGCCTTGAACGAAGTTCAGGCGACCACTACATGATCTGATGTAATGTGGAAAATGATGGAATTTATTAGTCTTGCTGTAGTTGAATACAAGATGGGAACTGATTCATTGCTTGGATGCAGCTACCACAAAGCTAGAGTAGTTTCAAAGCTTCAGATTTGATTTTATATGTCGGTAGCATGGATGATGATGGAACCGGGATTGTCAATGTGGTGTCAAAGAAAACACAAAATATAACACCTATTGAATTAGTAAACTCGGCAATTTTTTGTATTTATTATCTTTTGTATGTCTGTAAATGTTTTGCATGTGTATCAAGTGTCTGAACATGGTCTAAAGTGAGTCCTAGTGATCTGTGTGCATGATTTTTCCCTTGAGCATCACAACGCTGGGTTTGGTGGTGTCGCGGGTTTGAGTTTTTTTTTTTTTTTTTTTTTTTTTTTTTTTTCTTTTGGCCAAAAGAATTCTAAGTTGTTGTGTTGGGTGCGGTGTTGTGGTGCAATGTGTCCTTATGTGGAGAGATTTGGCGCACAAGATCGGATGTCATGGCGCCACTCTTTTTTTTTAATTTGCACTATTTTTAAATTCATTTTCTCATTTTAAGGCACCCACCTAGAAAGTGAGGGAAAGAGGAGGAATTTTAGAGAGTTACTTTTGGTCAGCTTTGTTTACAGTTGGCCTAGTTCTAAAAATTGTCCCGCTCAAATAGATAGATTATCTTCCATCTATTTTAATTTGCAAAAATTTTAAGATTTTCTTGATTGAATTTAATATGAATTTATATAACTATAGATAATTCTAATCTATAAAATTTTTATTCCGTAACTTTCTGTATACTATAAAAATAGTCATTTTGAATATATAAGTTTTTTTTTTTTTTAATTTAAGTGGAATGATTTGAAAAATTCTGCAACAAACGGACGCTCATATAAATAAGGTTGATCAATCACGAGTTATTAGTGAATAACCAACCTAGTACTCATTATTAAAGGTGTTCCAAGTCTTGAGCTCACCCTAAGCTCTCCTACTCTTCAAAATCCACTTGTCTTGAGAACTCTGCTACTCACTCAAAATACTCGATAAATAGGGTAGTAGAAAAGAGATGTTCACTCTCATCTTTGAATTCACGAGCAGTTATTGCTTGGATGAAGTTTGCCTGCCATATAACTAGTTACATAAAGTTTTATGATTTACCTAAACTTTGAACTGCAAAAGAAAATTTCTAAGCATCATTCTTGAGCACAATCTATAATTAGAGCAAAGTCTTAATGCTCTTCAAAGACAATAATAGCTACAACAACACATACATCAGAAAAATGCCTAAGAATGCATATTGATCCTTAATTTGAATTCTGCTGTTCTTCCTTTTTAGCAGCAGTCAACCATGAACCAGCTGGTCACATTTGGATAGAATCACCCATGCACAGCAGTGCATACGGAACAAGGATCCCTTATAAAAAGACAAGAGTGTTCTTTCACAGTAATACGATTTCTTTTCCCCAAGAGTTATTAATTGTTTAATAGTGATGAATGTTCCTTTCTCTACATTAAAATTAAGAAATTTGCATATCATCCCCTCAAATCATAAACATTCAAGATTCATGTGGTTCACTCAAAGATCTAGTCAATGCCAAGGATGAACTTGAGAAGACAGTTCCTCGTGTTACAAGTGGCAACCTATCACGAATAGAATCTGAAACAAATTTCACATATGATGATGTTCCAGCAGCTACCTGACTCTCTTTGCATCGAGCCCATGTCACTAAGTATAGGCCTGAGATGATTAAAAGCCCTCCAATAATACTGCAAGCACATAAACGCAAGTGACAGAGGAATTAGGGTTTAGGTCCATATCCCATGTCAACCACTTCCTCCACTTCTTAATGAGCAAGAAGAGTTATTATTATGGTACAACTGGAATTGTGAAATAGAAATATGCTAATGCAGAGAAAGCCAAGGCTTTATTTGCAAGGGGGCCATTGAGATACAACTAAATATTTTCAACTCAAAAACATAAAAAATACTAACACATACAGGAGTGCAAGTGGGAGGGTAGATGCACTAATAAAAAAATAGGGCCAATATCTTTCCTCCTTCAAAAAGTTAAAGGAGATCAATTTTTTTAAATACCTAATCATTTACTGTTGCCAAGATTAAATCATTTGGAATTTGCAAAAAAAATGTGGATTGGGGCGTTGTTTGATTTTCAATATTTGCATGGGAATTTGAAAATTAGAGGGAGGGTGTTAGTTTTATAAATAATCAAAATGTTAAGTGTAATGCATGAAATTGCCCCAAAATAGGCACAGAAAATTTGACATGTCACTTTTATTTAATTGGCTTAACCTAAGAAATTTTCTTACACATGGCTACAGAAAACTTTCTAGAAGGGACGTGGGCAAAGATCTACGTGGATTTCTCGAAGATTTGGCAGCAAAGCAAAAGTTGCAATGGTAGAATATAAAACCAATTGTAGCTCGCTAGAGAAGATCTTTGTGCGGAATTTCTCAAATGCAGGTTTTTGTGATCAGTATCACACAAAAACAAGTTTTTTTTTTTGTTTTTCCTATTTTTTTTATTTGGTGCAGTAAAAACAAAAGGTAAATAATTCCGTTTGTCAGTAAGTGAACTACAAAAATATATGTGAAGAAAACACCAGAACGAATACTTAAATAGTAGTTAACGTGAATAAGGTAAATAAGAACAGATCTAAGAACCATCATGTATTCATAAAAACGGTAGTAGGTAAAAGAGGAGCACCTTCCAGCGTAAATGGGACTGCCCAGAAATAAGGTCGACAAGAATGCTGAGACAACTGGTTGAAGAGGATTGTACAGAGCCACGAGGGCAGGCCCAATAATCTTATTGGACCATGTCAATAGCCAGTAATTCAAAGCAGATGCAATAATGCCCTAAAAAGTCAGTTGATCGTAGCAGTCAGTTTCATGGTGAAGTAATGCATCAAATTAATGAAATAAATCAAAACAATAAAACAAGGCTATCGCCTCTCTCCACTCCACTGGGTACTCGATATATAGGAAACATTAGTTTTGCCGGAGTGCGGCAGCCTGCAATAATGATTTCTAAAACAAAAATTGAATACAAAGCAAAAATCTTTAGCTCAAGAGGCATATTCTTTGGTTTTGAATATAGAGGGATGTTTATCTATAGCTTTATATGTGGAATTCAATCTATAGCTTGTCTTTTACCATCTTTTATTGTAACTGGCCTCGTCCTACTTATTTGTAATAGGCCTTGCACTCTACTTTAATTAATAAAATATTTGGGATAAATTTTTAACTTCAAGGATAAATAAGTTAACATGGATTTCAAATAATATTTTGAATTTCAAAATAGGCAGCTTTAAAAAGTAACCCCAAATAAGGATTGTCATGAATGACAGAAAGGCACATGAGAAAAAATTCAATGAGATAGCCAATGATACATAATTAAATTCTGAATAAAAAGCTAAAATAACTAAATTTTAAAAAACAAGAATTCACGTAAAATATTAAAAATAAGAAAGAAAGTGCAAACTAGCATTACTGCTAAAAAGTTTGAGTGGTTAGTGCCTCCATGATCTAGAGGCAAATCATGGAAAATACCTTTTTTAGGTAAAATTGCATACATAAATTCCTTCGTAAAGCTAGATATGCACTTTTTAGTAGTATTGAACAATTTTGTATATAACAAAAGTATCTCCTTTGCTTAGTCGAGAAACATTCCATAGCTTAATCATTCCACATCTCTAAGGAATAAAATTCATCCCACGTATATCTAAATTAAAATCTCAACCAAAAGCAAATCCTTCCTAAACCTTTATGTCGAAATAAAATCCACTATTGATAATCACACACACAAGCACACATCGCATAGATGTACATACACACATAGGCCAATCATGCATAGGGTTGGTTTGACAAAAGTGGGTGAAAAGTTAGAGTTTGTATGTAATTTGATTCCTTTGGGTATTGGAATGAAGTAAAGCTCATGTATGGTAAACATCTGTTGCATTTCAAGTACCTCAAACCCACATTTCCTAGCAAAGTAGATGCATCCAATTTGTTCACATCTGCTTTGCATCAAATCAACTCCCCATTTATTTCTCAGTTTGGACAAGCAAAAGATGTGCTTCCCTTCTTTCCCATTGTCAGTTGCAGTGACTCTCAATGTGGAGCTAGGTGTGGGCTCTGAAAATTCACGCTCCGGCATCCCCTCTTTTGGGAGAGTTTTAATGAGTTAAGTTCCGAGGCAAAATTTCAGAAGATATATTGGGTTTGAAATAAGACACTGCCTAGAGATTTCGCCCTCATTTAATGAGGACTTTAAATCTGGATTCAGGTTTCCAAGAGGCGCAAGCACCTATAGTTAATTACCCCTCCCGATACAAACAACAACAACAACATCAAGCCTTTATCGCACTACATGGGGTCGGCTACATGAATCATTTTTCTCCATTGTGTCCTATTAAAAATCAAATTCTCGTTTAAATCTAATAAAGAAAGGTCATTCCTAATAAATCTATAGTTGAAATGAAGGCTGAATAATTGAATTCTTTGTTTAATCCATGCCTAGTCCTTACACCCTCACTAGGTTCACCTAT